AGCCAAATTTTGGCCCGACCGATGACCAGACGCCGATGATGATGTCATCACAATGATGTTAGAAAAACCTTTGATGATGTCCTGACATTCTATAAAGGGAGGTGATAAATTGAAAGCTGTTTTTTTTTTTTTTATATTGAGAGCTAAATTTTATCAACTACCCATGTTATCCTCACTCAGAATTTTAAGGGAATCGCCATATTTACTCCCACTTAATTTTCTTTTCCCTCCTTTTATTGGCCCGACGTAAACTTTATTTTTTAAAAAATTTAATGTATTTAAGAAATTGGTATCACAAAGCTTCATGTCAACTTACTTAGTTCACAAATTAAAACTTCCGACAAAATAATATTTGTGTAAACTACTTCATCAAATAAAATTTTCAACAAACCATTACAATTAATCAAAGAAACTGAACCCAAATTATTCATTAGACTCATTAGCTAGTTTGTCCTTTTTCTCTTCCTTTTTGCTAGCTAGCAGTAACGTTGAGACTTGAGAACAACATCAGAAACAATGGCAACGGGAGGGATAGCAATTAGCAACATGAAGCTTACTAATTACTAGAATCTTTGGCCCTGTCCTTTAGAACTAACTAGAAAAACCATTGGTCTTGAAACTGTAACAGTTAATTTTTTTTTTCCAATCTTCGATAAAGTTCTTTTCACTTTTCACATCACTATATTTTACAATATCATTAATCATAAGATTTTCATATCTTTGGGCATGCGAGAATGGAAAACCAAAAAAAATAAATACAAGATCCTTGCGCAAAAAAATTGTATTCCGTTAACCTCTAAATTAATCATATTAGACACATAAAAATTCAATGTGATCAAACAGCCCCAAAGTTCACAGAACTTCAATTACATCTAAAATTTCAACGTGGTCAAACAAGTCCAAATTTAAACTGTCAATAAACATGCACAGTCGGAAAAGTTCAATACATCAACTGATCTGATTTTTAGATGCCCATTCTTTTTAACAAAATCAATGCATGGATCTAAGCCCACAATATATAATTAATAAACCTATTTAGTGAGATAATTGTCACAAAATTGACCTCATCACGATGATGACTATATGGATTGACGTGTGTTGCCGCTATTGAATCAATAAACGTAAATTGAACATTTTGAAAGAGAGGGTTTTGAAAAGAGTATCACCAAGTAATGATTATGCAAAAAGAAGCCAAAGTAGCAAAAATTAATGGCCAAAAAAGGAGGAAAAAATTAATTAGATTATGATCTCCAAAAATCATAAGTGAGGGCATAAAAGGTAATTAATAAAATTTTGCTCTTTATATAACAAAATTGCTTTCAATTTATCAATTTCCTTCTATTAATTATTCTAATAATTTCAAAAAAAATTCAGTTAGTTCATATTAAAAAGCAGTGATAGAACCAGAAAAAAAAATGAAGATTTATAAGGGCTTATATGAATATATTTATTAGGGATCATTTTTTTTTTTCTGAAAACAATAAAATTTCCAAGGAAAAATATCGACAAAGCAAGGATATCATAATATTAGCTACTTGAACTAAAAAGGTGAATACACATAAGGTAATTATATCTTTTCACTATGAACTAGGTTTCGACCAGTGCGTTGCACGGGACATGTCTAAAATGTAATTCGAAATCGAGAATTAATAATAAACAATATTTTCACGTACTTGATTAATTGTTTGCTTTGAATGAACAGATGGGTGAAGAAGAAATTATTTACTTTTAATTTCCATTGTTTTTAACTTTTTAAAAATGGGCCAAGCACTCTTTTCGTAGAAATATTTTAAAAAGGGTGTGAAGGATGTCAGGGTTGGCCCTTTATGGTAATTAAAACTGAATGGGGAAGCAGTTAAGAAGGAAGTTATAGAAGATATAGAAGATTCCGGAAATCAAGAAAAGGGAATTTTATTGAATTTCATCACTAATCAACATTATACAATCATTGGGTATTTATTACCCTAAATCTACAGTAAATGGAAACTCAGCCGAAAATAGAAAATAATTATTGCCAGTTATTAATTCTTTAATTCTGTCTGAGTCAACCGTCAAACGTTATTTCGAAGTCACCCCCATACTTTCAGAATTGACAAATAGACCCAAATGATGACAATTCATCTCCCATAAAATCAACCTTGTCCTCAAGGTTGAAAATTTGGAAACTGGCTCCTTATAAAGTTGTAATCCTCCCAAGATGCATCACTATCATCAAAATTCTTCCACTTCACCAAACATTGGTTAACTTGTACTCCATTTCTGAAAATGAAACGCCTTTGCAAAATGGTTTCAGGTTGCAAAGAGTGATCTTCAGGTGGTGGAGTGCAAGATGCTGGTATACTTCCATAATATTTCTTCAAAAGTGATATGTGGAAAACTGGGTGTATCTTGACAAAAGAAGGGAGCTGTATCTTATAGGCCACCTCACCAATCCTTTCCATTACCAAATATGGACCATAGTTCTTCGACATCAGCTTCAAATAAGACCTCAAAGCAACTGTTGATTGCCTATATGGTTGCAGCTTCAAAAGTACCCAATCCCCAACCTTAAATTCTCTGTTAGTGCGGTGCAAGTCAACAAACCATTTCATCGTTTCTTGGGCTTTCTTCATGTTTTCTTGCAACAATTTTAACACAGTAGCTCACTTTTGTAATAACTAATCAGCTGCAGGAATAATGCCGTCAGTGAACTCCCCTAATGGAAACAAGTTAGGCGTTTCCCCATAAAGAGCTTCATATGGAGTCATCTTGATACTGGTGTGAAAGGTTGAGTTGTACCACCATTCTGCTAAGGAAAGCCACTTACTCCAAGAAATTGGTTGATCAAAGCAGAAACAATGCAAATAGTTCTCAAGGCATTGATTTACTCTTTTTGTTTGACCATCAGTTTGAGGATGGTTTGCAGTACTCATTTTCAGTAACAGCTCCTTCCAAAAGTGGCTTGTATTGATCTTGTCTATATCAATAATGATATCATTAGGTAGCCCATGCAATTTGAAAACTTCATTCAGAAATACTTCAGCAACCTTAATAGCAGTAATGGGAGGATTCAAAGCAATGAAGTGGTTGTATTTGGTAAGCCTATCCACCACAACTAAAATCCATAGAAATACTCTTCCAAGCATGTTGTGGAACCGGATTTGGACTTAACAAACTAGGGTAGGGAACATTCTCTCCTTTATTCCTCTAACAAACATCATATTTGGAAACGAATTCTTGTACTTCCTGCTTCATATTTGGCCAATAGAACACACTTTTCAGTCTTTGTAGAGTGGCATTCTGACCATAGTGTCCACCAAGAGGAAAAGAATGGAAAACAGACTAGAGGTTTTGCTTCAACTCTGAACTAGTACCATTACAAAATCTCCCTTTCCTTCTGAGCAATCCTTGGACAAACTAATACTCATAATTAGGATCAGGACTAATAGTAATTTCAGCAATGATGTCTTTAATACTGTCATCCCCCTGGTAACTTTTAATTACCATTTTCACCCAAATAGGTTGAACTGTAGTGATTGCACAACAAGATCCTTGATCATTTTCTCCTCCATGTTCCTTTCTAGATAAGGCATCAACAACAGTGTTATCTTTATCCCCTTTTATACTGTATTTCATAATCATATCCTAGGAGCTTAGTTAACCATTTATGCTGGTTGGTGTAGATCACTTTTTGCTCCAACAGAAACTTGAGAGGCTGGTGATCAGTACGGATGATGAAATGGTTCCCTGACAGATAATGCCTTCACTTGGTTACTGCAAGAACTAAAGCCATCAATTCTTTATCATAAACTGATAAACACTTATTCTTCTGACTGTATGCCTTACTGATAAAAGCTATAGGCTGTCCAGACTACATTAATGCTGCTCCCATTCCCACATCACTTGCATAAGTTTCAACCACAAAAGGTTGACTAATATCTGGCATGCTTAATGTAGGAGAAAAAATCATGGTTACCTTCAACTTCTAAAATGCCAATTGAGCTTCATCAAACCATTTGAAAGAATTCTTCTTCAACAAGTTGGTAAGTGGTTTACAGATAATACCATATCCCTTGATGAATCTTATGTAGTAACCAGTTAACCCCAAAAAACCTCTTAAGGCTTTAACAGAATTTGGTGATGGCCATTTAGAGATGCTTTCAACCTTCTGAGGATTCATCTTTACACCTTCTCCTAAAATGATGTGACCCAAATAATCTACAGAGTTTTGTGCAAACAAGCATTTACTTTTCTTAGAATATAATTGCTTCTTTTGCAAAATCTTAAGCACCTGTTCAAGATGGACAACATGCTCCTCCAATGTCTTACTATAAACCAGAATATCATAAAAAAAAAACAAGAACAAACTTTCTTAATTGTTCCTGGAAAATCAAATTCATCAAGGACTGGAAAGTAGCAGATGCATTAGTAAGGCCAAAAGGCATAACCAGGAACTCATAGTGCCCATGATGGGTTTGGAATGCTATCTTTGGCACATCCTCCTTGTTGACCATAATTTGATGGTATCCCGACCTTAAATCCAGCTTAGAAAACACCTCGGCACCTTGCAGCTCATCCAATAACTCATCAATGACGGGAATTGGAAATTTGTCTTTAATAGTCATGGCATTTAACCTCCTATAGTCCAACACACATCCTCCAACTTCCGTCTTTCTTCTTAACCAAGATTACAGGTGAAGCATAAGGACTCCTGCTTGGTTGAGCAATACCCTGCTCCAACAACTCAGCCACCTGTTTTTCAATTTCTGTTTTATAGGCATAAGGGCATATGTATGGCATCAATTTGAAAGGTTGTGAACCTGTCTTCAACAAAATCCGGTGATCAACTGCTCTACTAGGAGAAAGTGACTTTGGAGTATCAAACACAGCACAATATCTGTCTAAGAGTTGACAAATTCTGCCAGGAAAGGATATTCCACTACTGATTCTTCATTACTATTCAAAGCCTCCAATTACATAGCCATCAACCATTCCCTTCTCTCTTGTGACAGAACCTGACACTATTTATCTCTAACAAGATTCATACTGTCTACACTGCCTTTACCTTGTAAGATGTACTGTCTTCCATACTTACTTAACCTGATTTGTATGTCATCAAAATCAAAGGTAATAATGGGGTTGAAATGCCTCATCCAATCAACACCCAAAATCATATCATAACCCCCTAACCTCGTGATTTTCAAATCACAACTGAACTTATACTCCTTAATGTTCCAGTACAAATTAGGACAAATCAAATTTCCAGAGATCTTGTTCCCATTGCTAACAGTGATAGTGAATATCTTAGACTCTTTATATGGCAATTTCAGATCCCTTACTAGCAATAAGTCCACAAAACTCTCTGTACTACTAGTATCCACCAATATCTTCACAAGTCTACCATCAATCTTGCCCAACAACAATATAGTCTGCTTGACACAATCCATTGAAAGCACATGCATAGAACCCTCTTCAATGGTTAAGTCATTTAGATCAATTCTCTCATCAATAGTCAACTCAGGAGCATCAATGCCAAAACCATTACCCCCTTCATCTTCTTCACTAACAATCATTATATTAAACTACCTAGATTTGCAAACATGGCCAGGTCCAAATTTTTCCCCACATTTAAAACATAAATGATTGTTAGCTCTATACTGATATTCCTCATTGGTTAACCTCTTAACAAAATCCAAATTAATGGTTTTATTCTTGCCAAAAGATTTACCATTATCAGAGTTCTTGCTAAAAGAAGAGTTAGGCCTTGGAACCTTGTAAGGAGATGGTTTCTGCCTTCTTTGTGTGATCTCCAACTGTTGCTCTTGAAGCATGGCAATCTTTACAACAGCTGTCAAAGTGGAAGGTTCATGCATTCTAACATCAGCTCTGAGTTTATCCTTTAACCCATTGAGAAAACTGTGGATAAGTACTCCTTTGATAGGCGTGGATCTTGAATTAACATTCTGGCCCTTAGCTCCTCAAATTTTACCTAATAATCACGAACATTGCCCTTTTGCACCAATTTCTTAAAAATCTTCCATCGGATTGACTTTGCTGATATCCAAGAACCGTCTCATCAATTCTTGACAGAATTCAGGCCAAGAAATGAGAGGATTGACCTTTTTCAATGATTGAAACCACGTATCTGCATCATCGTCCAAGTACAATTCAATAGCATCAACTTGTTGATCCACTGGAATTTGCTGAATAGTGAAAAACTTGTCACATTTTCAAATCCATTCCCTTGGTTTCTTGCCAGTGAAGACTTGTAATTCAATTCGAGGTAAAGCATAATTCATAATCTTGTCGACAACCGCCTTATCCTTACCTGGAACTGTAATATGGTCCATTGTAATCACCTCCATAACACGATCCCGACCAAGATTGCCCATTGGATTCGTAACCTCCTCTTTTGGTCCAGATCCCAGAATATTGCAATTAGGGTTTTCTCCAGCTGGTTTTTTTGAAATTCTTGACGGTTGATTTTGGTGATTGAGAGATGCTAAGATCTTATCTATGTATGCACCCGGCTTCGATTCAAGCTTGGAATCCAAAGTGGCCTCCAATTTGTTGTCCAATTCAGCAACGATTTTGAGGTTCATCTCCGTCACCTGAGTCTTCAGTTCATCGAATTGCAAACGAAGATCCTCCATTTCCCGTTGTGTTTTAGTTTGTGTCATCTTCTAATCAGTACAAATCTGAGGATTGCTCGGCTCTGATACCAAATGTTAGAGTTGGCCCTTTATGGTAATTAAAACTGAAAAAGGTCACCGGAAAGTGGAAAGAGCCAGTGGCTGGAGTTGGATTTCAGAGGGAAAAAGATAGAATGGGGAATCTGTTAAGAAGGAAGTTATAGAAAATATAGAAGATTCCGGAAATGGAGAAAGGGGAATTTTATTGAATTTCATCACTAATCAACATTATACAACCATTGGGTGTTTATTACCCCAAATCTACTTTAAATGGTAACTCAGCCAAAAATAGAAAACAATTATTGCCAGTTATTAATTCTTTAATTATGTCTGAGTCAACCGTTAAACTTAATTTCCAAGTCACCCCCATACTTTCATAATTGACGAATAGACCCAAGATCATGACAAAGGACTATTTGTGTTTATAAAATAGCCAAGGCCTCTTTTATATAATTTTATGGGCCTGGATTATAGGGGGAGACAATTGTGTATTTTGTTTCATGTCCCTCGCTGTTGCATATAAGAACCTTCAAACCCTTTCGGGACGTTATCCTTGATAGAGCCACGTAGAGTTGACTGTGACTAAAAACAGGTCATGGTAGATAAAGGCCCACATGCGATAGAGATTATCCATGACTTTTGTTTATAGTCATCGCAAAGCAAACGGCTATTGGGAAATTGTCGTCTCCACATTTTGAAAGGCAGTGTCTTGTCTGAAGGGGAAATTGACATCCTTGGAATTGGCACAATATTACCAATATTGTGGGACCCATTTAGTATGGTGAGCGGTTTGCTCGCTTCTCGCCACGCAAGAAAATTGGATGCCACCCGTTAAAGAGTGGTGTCTTTCTCCCGCGCCAGCCTTCGTCGCCCCCTCCCTCTTTTTTTTTTTTAAGAAAATAAATAATATAGTTTTTTTTAGGGCAGTTAGGGCGCTCAGTAACAACACTCTATATCTTTTCACAATGAATTTGCACTATGAACATGTTTACTTTTTAAAGTGAATAATGGTATTTCCAGGATGAGCATCACAATAGAGCTATAACCGTTGAATTAAATTAGTTGTAATTTAAAAGAAGGTAAAGTCGATTACATTGAATAATTGTTCCACAATTTCACCAACTGATCACGATCAAAACTAACATTTTATCAAAATAAGAAGTTTTGGATTTCTGCTTAGTATAAATTTATAATGGCGTTCCGAGAAAAAAGCAAAGAAAGAAAAAAGGAAATGTGTCCAACACCTGAGAAACACATTAATGTTCTTCTACATTTTGGTTGAAAAACTCTGACCGATTACATTCATTTGATGGAACTTTTCTGCTTTCTTTTTCTTTCCCAATGGGGAAAGCTCTTCTGGGGACCTCAATGCATAAATTATGCACAGCAAGCCGAATAAATATGTGAGCAGGCTTGTTCAAGAGGGCTAATAGAACTCCCCGAGAAGGGGTGACCTACACCCAGACAAGCTGGTATTATTAGTTCACATAAGTTGGTCAAGATTTCACCGTCCCATTTTCTGCAGATTTGGTACAAAATGACGATATAAAGTTAGTTTTTCACAAATTAATCGACATCGTATTAATAGAGATAGTGGAGGATTAGTATCAAATATGCAGAACACTCCCCCTGTTCAAAAAATAATACTAGTAGTAATATATTACAGCTTTGTTTGAAATGCAATTTGAGAGTATTGTTTTCAAAAAAACAAAAAAAAAAAGAAAAAGAAAAAACAATTAAGATGATAATAATATATGCACTATGCAGCCTTGTAATTAAACTGATAATAATGTTTTAAACCGTTTTTATGGATTGGATTATGAAATTAGAACCCCCTGTTGGAGTCAAAGGTCTGGGCTCTCATAATCTCATTCAACATTTGCCGTGACACTCAGTAGCATTTCACTAGCTTTAGTAATTAGCAGATTAGAGTACTCACGCCCGGGTGCCAAACGCATTAGCAAAATGTGGATTTTTTTTTTAATCTTTTAGGGAACATATTCTATCCTTACACCGTCTTATACCATCCCAAGAAGTTCTTGTCCCATTTCTAAATATAAACGTTTTTTCTGAATAATAATAATAATTTCATAATAATAATTTATAAAGTTTAGCGCAAGACAAGATTCATGATGGCCAACTAGCAGTTTAAGCATCAATCACGTCGTATACGGCCGTAAACACAAAAAAATCATCCGCAAAACCCAACATTGAAAAAAAAAAAAAATTGTTTACGTAATGATGGATATACTCGTTTATATTTTTCCTTTGTACAATTAGGTTAGATGGACTAAAAAACTTTTGTAAAAAATTGAGATTAGAACAAGTAATTTAGGAAGATGTAAAAAAATGGAACATAAGATAAAGCCAACAGTAGGATATGGAGATCATCATGTTTTTAAACAAAAGTGCCCAATAGAATATATAAATCAAGTAAACACGAAAAGGTGCCAGGGGGTACATATTTCTAATAACATAAAAAAAGAAAACTAAATTAAAGGGAGGGAAAAAAAAAAGAAAAAAAGAGAGAGCTTGAAATTGAGGGGTCCTGGCACATTCTATTGGGCTGGGCACATGTAAGAATCCTACCGACCAAGAGTAATATGGTCCATAATTATTTCGACATAGCCTCCATGATGCGAATGTGGAACTACCCTTCTGACGTCATTTGCATAGCGGACAATGTAAGGGCGTTGAAAGCAATTGCACAGGGACAAGGAAGCATGGATCACCTCCAATCCAGCTGCAATGCCTGGGTAAATAGACAACAAGCCCATGGATCCAACTTCCTTGTGCTTAGCTTTCATTACGAGGTCAAAAATAACAAGCCCGAAATGAACAAACCAAAATATGATTCCCATCAGGTCGAACTTGTTAGCCCATATTTTACGCGGGGATCTATTAACTTCTATAGTGAAGAACCAGCATCGTCTCCACACAGCCCCAGCAGCACGGGCTTTGGAAATGAAGCTCTGAATTTGGATGTAAACTCCAATTGGAGTTAACACCACGGCAACAATGGGGAAGATCCACTTCTTTTGGTCCAATGCCTTGAGCTTACCCACTGGAGCCTCAGCCAAGCCACAAATAATTTCTGCCGCAAGCAGCCCGGTAGCAAATCCAAGCTACACATGAAACATAAAATTCATTTATTTATCCAACTTGTAATTCTTTTAATAAAACAAAGTATGATTAATAAATCAAAGTACAAACTCAGAGAAACATTACCACGATAAACTTGTTCTTCATTTCTTCCTGTTGCGCCATCTTGTTGGTGGTCTCTTTTTTCACTTTAAATAGAAAACATGACAAACAAAGCATGTGACATGAAAAAATAATAATAATAATAATAAAACTGAGAAAAAGAAAAACAAATAAATTGAATGCCATATTAACCATTGTTCTGCAGAAACTAAAAACTCAAAATAATAATAACCATAACAATCCGTTTCATATTCGTTTGTCTTTGTTATTTTCACAAGTTTTTTTTTCCCGAATTAGTGATGTCCTCACCACTTGAAGAGAGAAGATTCGAACTAAAAGAGTGCACATTTGTCCAGAAAAATTAATGATGTACGCACAAACTTCTCCAGAAAAAAAAATCAATAAAGAAACAAAAAGAGTGCACATTTGAAATAATTCAAAGATGTGATGCTGAATCTTGAGGGGAAAAAATAAAAGTAAAGAACAAGTTCATCATCACTAGCAACTAAGAACTGTTGCTACTAACGAGAACTAACATCTTTGAAGTCTAACTTTAATGCAAGTATAATTTTCTAATAACATAAATAACTTTGTATCTTCTTTTTCATTTTCACAAAGAAATAAATTTAAAAGTAGAGGAGTACCTAGTTAGATCTCTATGCTATTGCTTTTCTTTCTCTTGCTTTATTAAACTGAAAATTGAAACACTTAAGAATGGTGAAGGGAAATGTGAAAGAGCGTCCTATTTATAGAGGTTCCACAACTGCTCAATTTGATATCCCATGCATGTGACATTAGGGTTTAGTCTACCTGGACAAGGGGAAAAAAAAGAGGAGAATCATGGAATAAGAGATAGACAAATCACATTACAATGACAACGGTCTAATATTAATATATGAACACACGTTTATATATATTGGGTACTAATTATGTCCCTAGTGCAAAAACAAATTGAGGGTGAAGAGTTAGTGGTCGACAAAGTCAGAAAGTTGAAGTATCCATTTTTAGCTTTGGATTTTCAAATATTAATTTAGATTTTTCAGGAGTTTGGAAGTTAGCCTGCGCATGAGATTATTTTGGATATCAATATGGCTTTGCTCTTTGTTGGATTATGAAAGCTTTGAACCTCGGAAAATTGGATTTCCAGTTTGTTTAGGGTTTGGTTTAGTGGTTAATAGAGTAATTTTTTAAATGATTTATGTTCTAACTTTATGCATTTTTACTTAGATTATGGGTTGTTCTTAGCAACCAAAAACACGATTAAGAGAAGAATATAGTCAACAATGTTGGTAGTAGGTTATAGCAAAGTTCACTGCAAGTTTGATATATGGATAATGAAATTGTTGAATATCACATCCATTGGCAAGTTGAGGGTGCATTAGTTGTGTATATTAAACAATTCTGGTATATTATTATTTTTTTTTGTAACGCCGGGAACTCCACCAGATATGGGTAAACTCACATCCACTGCAAGCCAATACGCAATGTGAGAGTCAACCCCTTACTTTTTATTAGTGTGGGATTGAACTCATGAACTCCTTTTCTAACAATGATTGTTTTACCACTTAACCAACTCTCATTCGCGTATATTATAATTTTAACGACTTTGATACATTATAAATATAATAAAGAAACCGTAAAAACCATAGCATGCAAGTAAATAGATTATTTTCTTCTACCATATTATTCCTTCACTCCTATTATAACACATAAATCAAAACTAAATCATTCCTCAAAAATGGATTAATTGGAGGCAGTCTTTCAATAATTCTTACATGGACAAACAAGAATATACAAAACTTTGATGAACTTAGAACACCAATTACTCTCCTTACTTTCCATTAACTTTGTCATCTCACGACAAACCTAGGCTACCACTCTGCCTCTCTCTAACACACACACACACACACACACACTCACCTGATGGCTTAATTTGTGATTATTTGTGTGTTTGAATTTTGACATGAATTAAAGCCAAGCCCTAAGAGTACGTAGGTGGGGCAAACAAACTACACACTCATTTCACTGGGGCAAGGCTGTACATATTAGTGGTATTTTAAACATTTTGAACTGCGGCAATGCTATAACGTACATGCATACGCCCTGATCAAATTCAAAACTAACAGAAACCCCCTCCCCCAAAATTCTTGTATGCACGCATCCCAAATACGTAAAAAAAAAAAAGTGAAAATGAACCACCTCATCCACGCAAAGTGCAATTATTAAGTTTTTTACATTTATTAAGATGATCATATTTTGGCTTTGTTTTGTGTTTTGAAAATCCTATCTAGCTTCTTTTCTAATTCTTTTCCCATAGTAAAGAAGGAATGACAGGTACTGTTTTAGTGTAATATACATGAATGATAGAAATTAGGTTCTCCAACTCAAGTTTAATTTATGTAACACAATCCCTTGATCCCACCTCGGAAACACCAGCTATAGCTTAAATCAAAACAAACAAATAATCACAAAAATCACCATGAATGCACCACTTTAAGCATGTCTGGTCAAATTTTAAGGCCTACATCACTTGAATCTCCTTCTTCAACATGGCCATCCTGATGGAATTTATTAATAAGGATACGATTCGATTACGTACTGGAGATTTTGAAGTTCTCGAATCAGGATTTTGACAGTACTTTTCTGATAAAATCGTCAAAAGGAGGCCTGGGTTACCTAAAACATGAATTCACAATGTAAATGTTACTCATAGGATAGGGACCTTTCTCGACAGAATACAATCATTATAAACTTTAGGGGACTAGTTTATGTCAAGAATAAGATCCATAAAAGCAAAAAAAATGTAGAAATGAGAATCAAATCTTCAAGGATTGATGTCTACAGGCCAAAGCCAAGTTACTTTAATGTCCCACTCTGGGTATCTGTCTTATTTATTTAATTTAGGGATCGGTTTGTGTTTCCATAAATTCAGCATTACCTTCTTCACATAATGAAAACACTTCTCTGTTTCTTCAAACAACTTTTTCTTTCTCCCAATGAAAAAATATTTGGGAGAGAAGACAACCGGATCATGTGATTGTTCTGAGTGTTGGAATCATGTGTTTGGCTAGGGTGAAAAAAAGAAAACCACTGGATCATATAAGGGTTTCTTGCAGATATATATGCTGCAGAGTATCAGGGAAAAAAAAAAAAAACTAAAAACCATAGGAGAAAGCTGTCTTAGGCAAAGAAGAGTTGAAACTTACCTAAATTTGCATGCATTGGACGAACACATCAAGAAAGTAGAAGGGAATAGAGCCGCATGCATTCACCATGCAAGTTGTCTTCCTTTAAGTCTTTTTCTTCAATCACGTGGGCATTGTAACATTTACAATCCGTTGGGTGATTTTTGTGATTATTTGTGTGTTTTGATTTACGCTATAGCTGGTGTTTCCGAGGTGGGATTAGTGGATTGTGTTACATAAATTAAACTTGAGTTAGAGAACCTAATTTCTATCATTCATGTATATTACACAAAAACAGTACGCGTCATTCCTTCTTTAATATAAGAAAAAATTAGAAAAGATCATATAAGACTTCCAAAATGAATTAACAATAAACACTTATTAATCAACACGAGAGCCTGTTACAATGATAAAGCTAGATAGGATTTTCAAAACACAAAACAAAGCCAAAATATGATCATCTCAATAAATGTAAAAGACTTAATAACTGCACTTTGCGTGGATGAGGTGGTTCATTTTCACATTTATTTTTTACGTATTTGGGATGCGTGCATACTAGAATTTTAGGGGGTGGGGGTGGTTTCTGTTAGTTTTGAATTTGATCAGGGCGTACGTTATAGCATTGCCGCAGCTCAAAATGTTTAAAATACTACTAATATTTACAGCCTTGCCCCTGTAAAATGTGTATGTAGTTTGTTTGCCCCACCAACGTACTCTTAGGGCTTGGCTTTGATTCATGTCAAAAATTCACTGTTCTACCATGTGTAATGTAATGTTACAAATTGTTACAAATCTTTAAGTTTCTAGTCGATATTTTCGTCCCCCAAAAAAAACAACTCTTCACACAAATCACAAAAATTAATTTATGAGCATGATATTACGTAGCTCAACTCAAACATTAAAAAACGTAGCAGCACCGATGCAAACATCATTAGCTTATATACTCAAGAGACAAACTGTATAGTTTCCCGGTGTATTAATATGTGTGAATAAGAAACGTTGTAAATTTGTGGAGTTCAGCATTATAATATGACTCTTCGAAATTGGAGGAAGATCGAAACAATTTAAGCTTTGCTAGGGCTAAGGTGCTGGCTCGATTAAGAGAATGAAGACTTTTGGGCGCAAAAAATGAAGCTTAAAAGGCTTAAAGAAGGAGATTCAAACACATCTTTCTTTCATGCTTCTTTGACGGAAAGAAGAGCTAAACTTGGCATTCACAAAATTCAATCTGAAGAAGGGTTCTGGATTCATGACCGAGCAATGATTGAAGAGCATGCTGTTGATTTTTTAAAAAATCTTTGGACTGAGGAGAGTCACGAAGATCAAGTAGAGGTGCAACAAGTGTTTCTGCAACAGATACCCTCGCTTCTTGATGAAAATGATTGTAGTTTATTGCAAATGCCGGTTTGTTTAGAAGAAATCAGAGAAGCTGTCGATAGTTTGGATGCGGAAAGTGCTCCAGGTGCCAATGGTTTTGGTGTCATTTTTTATCAGAAATGTTGGGGAATCATAGCCACAGACTTGAAAAAAGCTTGTGAAGAATTTATGTTGGGTGTTCCTTTGCCTAGGGCAATTGGTAACACTTTGGTAGCTCTGATTCCGAAGAAATCATCCATCAACACATTCTCGGATTTGAGACCAATCAGTTTGTTTACTTTTATAAATAAGAACTTTACGAACATACTTACTGAAAGGTTGAAGCGAATTCTTTCAAAAATAATCTCCGAGGAACAATCGGCCTTTTTAGCCGGAAGGGACATTGCAGATAATGTGTTGCTAGCTCAAGATCTTTGCCATTTTGTGAACCACGAAACCAAAGGAGATAATCTAATTATTAAAGTGGACATGATGAAAGCATTTGATAGGGTTTCATGGAGCTTTTTACGAGAGGTAATAAATAGATTTTAACTAATCTCCAGAGCAGCTAGTTTTCTATATTGGTGAATGGTAGTCTTGTGGGATTCTTTCAAGCTTCTCGAGGTATAAAGTAAGGCAACCCTCTTTTGCCTGATTTATTCCTTATTGTGTCGGAGGCATTGCCGCATCGGTTGAACTTTTTAATGGAAACTCGCAAGATCTCACATTATGGAGCTCCGATAGGATCTAAGATAATCACTCACCTATGTTATGCTGATGACCTCATTATTTTTACTAAAGTTCTCAAGTCGTCTTGGAAGAGTTGAACAATTTTTTTGAGAGATATGAAGTAGCCTCAGGACAAAAGATCAATTGGCGAAAAAGTAACTTTTTTGTTGCTGAAAGATGACGCCAACAAAGAGTGACTTGATACATAATGTTCTTGGTATGCAGCATGACAAATTCCCCTTTATCTACCTTGGTTGTCGACTGTATTATTGCAGAAATAAGGTGGATGCTTTCCAATATCTCCCTGAAGCGATGGATTCCATGCTTGCAAACTCGAAGAACAAAATGTTAAGCCAAGGGGGCCGTTTATTGCTCGTCAAGCATGTATTATCAGCGTTGCCGTTTCATAGTTTTGCAGCATGGATCC